CAGTGAATGCGATTGGAAGCATGTGTGGATGAGGTCGGACCTGATAGGAAAGGAAAGGCAACAGGCTGCAAGGTTTCATCGGGTGATCTTGTTGAGATTTTGAAGACCTGCAGTTGCTGTACAGTATGTTGATATGAGATCGAGCATGAAAGTAACTTCTCTCCTTGACATCATTCCAAATCAGCCTCACTGCAAACTCTCCGGCCCCACCATCGCGGCGCTTGAAAACATTCGAGCTCCCTGTCTGCATGAACAACAGCAAATCTTGGTGCAGCTGCTGAAATGAATGCTGTCGACTCTTTTGCGGCTCTTCGTTTCTGGGCATGAGGAGATTGCAATCAACCAGCTCACGTAGCAACAAGTAAGATCTCAGGTACAAGAGGTCCACTGACAGAGACAACCAACACATCGCATCATCTTGTCCAGTATGCAAGCAAGCTGGAAATGTGATGCTGCTTTCAAACACGAGCACCTTCAGAGAGTTTTCGAGAGGGAGGGAGGGAGGGAGGGAGGGAGTGAGAGGAGAGGGATGGTGGAGGGAGATTCAGGGACGTTGAGCCACGAGGGAAGAGGGAAGGAGAAGCTCTGTTGACCCACCAGCAGATCGAGAGCGCGCACCATCAAGACGAGGAGCTGGACGATGAAGAAACTCTCCCAGTCCAAAGGAGAAAGTCCAGGCTGGGGAGGAAAGGGAGTGTGTTCTTGGTATTGGCTGGGCTTGCTGCTGTGATTGCGAGGAGGCGATCGAAAAGATTCCGAAGTCTTTGTTCAGGTTGATTGTCGGAGGGATCTTGTGTGATAGGATGGTGACACGTGCTGTAGAGATATCTGAACATAGCAGCGGCTTCTTGCAATGGGCGGGAGAATATTTCCTTGAGGGCATCCAGGTGAAAGGCGGCAGGGTCGTGATGAACACGGTGATTGACTGAGTTGGCAGGATCACCTATCGACGAAAATGTTTGTTGATTGCTCACCAACCCTGTTACACTGACATGTTTTACTTGGGTTACTCTCAGATTCTGCTTGGTTGTGTCGTTTGTGATGTCGTTCTTGCCAACCCGGCACACCAGACTGCTGGAGTGGTTGGTAGATTGATCATGGCCTCCAGGCAGGAGCAGGAGGGATTTCAGAAGCATTTTTGATGCCGAGGAACTGAAAACAAGAGATAAACAACATGATTGGAGAGAGAAAGTGAATGAGCAGGGAGAATAAGATATCAATATTACATGTTGACAACTGGACAAAACTTACCTCTGCTGCGCTGATGTGCGGTCGAACATGTGCTGAACTGATATGACTGGCGGTTACCTGTAGTTGTTGGTTATTGCCATGTGTCTGAACGATCTTGATATACCTGCGGATCTCTCGTGATGTTATACCGTATGCGATCAAACAACTGTAACATGCAAGCATTAGTTCAAGTTGACGTCAGGCCATAGTGATAGTTTGGTGCTATTAGAGATGATGATGGAGATGATGATGGAGACGATGATGAGTTGAAGGAATTACATTGAAATTCATCTCTGACACGTTGTAGCCTGCAAACTAGCATTACATGTCCCATATCTTGATCGCTCTCTCTACCTGTCGTTCCTTTCGGCAAATTTCCCTTCGCTTCCTCAAGGCAGAGCTTGTATGAAGCTACCTGAGAGGAATTGAGGAAAGCAAGAGGCACGCTTGAAGGAGGAGGAGGAGGAGGAGGAGGAGGAGGAGGAGGCACTCTTGAAAGAGGAGGAGGAGAGGGGGGAGGGGGAGGAGGAAGGAAGAAGAAACGAGGATAAGAAGGATTGAAGGCAACAAGAGGAGACTAGGATAGAGATGGAGGACGAGGATGAGGAGGAGACGGAGAGGAGAGGTAAAAGCAGAGGGGAAGAGGAGGATAAGGAGGAGGAAGCGGTAGAGGCAAAGGGAGGATGATGATAGAGGGAGGGGTAAGGAGGAGGAGGTAGGGAAGGAGGGGGAGGCAGCAGGGTAAACCGGAGTGATGTTTTTGATTCCGTTGTATTCGAACTCATGCAAACCAAAACCTGCAAGACAAGTCAGAGGAAGGCAGCAGATGTTAGGAGAGGGAGGGAGGGAGGGAGGGAGGGAGGGAGGGGGAGAGCAGGGGAAGAGGTGGGGAGGGCGAGGAAGGAGGAAGAAGAAGCAGCTGTTGCAATGGGGAAAAGGAAAAGGGAAAGGGAAAAGGAAAAGGATGGTGGAGAGTTTTGCCTCTATATCTCAGGTCATCAATGCAAGTAATGGGAGGAGCCTTCCCAATCCCAACGCCTTTCCCTTTCTTCGATCCTGAGGGGAGGGTAAGAATGGCAGCAGCCGGGAACAATCTTGTGAATGTTGTGTTCCTCTTGCGCTTGCTCCTGCCCCTCCAGGATCCTGCTCCTGCTCCTGTTGCTGCTCCTGCTCCTGTTGCTGCTCCTCGTGCTGCTGCCGCTGCTACTCCTTCTCCTCCTTGTCCTGCTGCTGCTGCTACTGAAACTCCTGCTCCTCAGCCATTTCCCCATCGCAACTGCTGCTTTCAAAGTTTTCCCCTCTCAATCCCCTCCACCCTTGTCTTTATCTCCTTCACCTCTTCCCTCAAAGTCTCCAAGACCTGTTCTCCGTCCTTTCTCATGATTTTCCCCCTTACCTGGTACCAGCCCCATCATGCTGGGGGTAAAAACCTGTGTCATTCGCTCCTCGATGGTTGCTGGTGCTCTTTTCCTCCGTTCTCCTGCCATAGGTAGTTAGAGCGAGGTGGAGGAGAAAGGGGAAGAGGAGGATGAGGAGGAGGTGGAGGTGGAGGAGGTGGGGGAGAAGGGGAAGAGGAGGAGGAGGAGGGGGAGAAAGGGGAAGATGATGATGATGATGATGATGATGATGATGACGACGACGACGACGACGATGATGATGATGATGATGATGATGATGATGATG